AATCCCTTTCTCAGGGAGAAGGACAACAAGAATCGAGGGTCCTTCGGGGTCAGGCCAACCTGATGACTCTTGTACGGTGGGGGACTTCGGAGGCTCGGACTAGGCGTTCCAGTTTCATAGGTCTGCCTAATCAACAAAGCAGTCACGGTAGCAGTAGGGGTGAATGCAATGATCTAATATCCAGGAAGGGCGCAATCATGGAGCCGAACTCCGGGAACTCCCCAAAAATTTTGCAAAAACTCTTCAAAGTGCACGATTCTCTGAAGCTGATGGGGGCTCATTCTATAAGGCTAGCTAATACAAAACTCTTCCAAAAGATGGCTTCATGTGTTTCGGGATTTACCAAAGGAAGTGGAAATCATCAGAAGGACCAGCGAAATTATTGAGGAGTGGAGTTACGGTCGGCGACAGTAAAGATTTCTGCGCAGTGAGTGGAGTGGTCGTCTTATATAGTAGATGAGTGAGTTAGTGATGAGATAACGACGTTTTGATGAGGGCGTGGTCGAGGGTGATCTGACTGGTGGTGCGCGGCTTGAGCTTATGAGACGAGGGAAAACTTGATAACTGATAAGCAAAGATGAGTTATCGACATTAGGCACTTACAAGCACTTATGCGTCATGCGCCACTACATAGCATCACTTCACATTCGACATGATAGAGTTATAGCTACCGCTGCCGCTTCGGTTGACGTTCACGTCGTTTGCAAACAGGTTTCACGAACCCACGAATCCCTCCTCAGTGCCGTCCCTCCCTATTGGGCTCATTAGACCAAATGAAACGGAATATGGAACATTCATAACCCTTCACTAATGTTCCTTCCCACACTCCGCGCATCCACTCCCATTTTTCCCCGTCAGATCTCGCGCGAAAACAACCCTGAAGGGAGGTTTCACAATTAGTGACTTTCCGGGGGTTCTACTGATCCGTTTCCTAATTTCGGATTCTCATGCTGACAGCGAAAGAAGGTTAACTGGAAGATGGCTTCTAGAGATTCCTCCTTTCCCAAACGGGAAGCGATTTTTCTTCCCGAAGACCTATTCTTTGACAGAATTTCGTGGTTGTAGACTCTGTGAAACAAAGATTAGCAATCTTACTCTATTATATCGATCCTTTCCCGAATAAGGAAGTTGGGATTGTAATCGAAGTGGAACTCCTTTAACACATTAAAGACATCCTCCTGTGGGTGTCAGCACCTCGGCACCTTTTGTTTGATTTTTTCACAATCATCATAATTTCTTCAATAGTTCCACCACTGGTAACCGGTCCTAATTTTTTGGATAAGTTAAAGTAACATGCAGTTTTGAAATATGCCAAACAAATCAAACAAAAAGTCAGAATCGCTATGGCGCGCGTACGCGTCATGCTGTCGTCAACGTGCCAAGTTTGATCTCTGAAGAGCTACTGGGACAAAGGTTTATAGACCTGTTTACAGAAGTTGCCATCGAGTGAACTTGAATCCATTTAACAACATTTGCAAATGATAAGAAACGGCACTTTCGATGTTGGAGCATTTTATGAGCTTGTAAATTTAAAAGCTGTAATAAAAAAAAACTTGATGGATACTGGTTGGAAGGTAGTCGAATTGGTATCTCTTCAAACAATTTGGTCATACAAAGTCATCAAATTCCGCGTTGTTATTCTCGTTAGTTTTCACGTAGGATACGCCGCTGTGGCAATATTTCCGGAGACTACCGTGCACTGAATTATTGCACTGAGAGACGTTTCATTGTAATAGTTTGATGAAACTAGGATGTCTCGTTGAGCAGTAAATCATGACCCAAAGAACCTCAGAGAGTGTGATTTAATCCCGTGTTACGTTTGTCCAACGTGGCAAATAATTTCCTTTCAGGCCAATTCGTTAAAGCAATGTAAACAGCACTCAGGTTGGACTATGAGCAATTGGTGGCAGATAGAACGTCATGCTCTTCAGACCCTGTGGAAACAAATAAACCTATGGGGAGGGGTCGGGGGTAGATTGGGGAATTACTTAGAAAGGTTGAGGATTGACTTAAACTGATTTGGTCCAATTTCTAGGTTTCGGCTTTGCGAATTGGGCTATATAGTAATGAGTGAACTTTATGAGTCAGGAGCAGATGTTGTTTCGAAATTGGCAGTAAGTTAGAAATCATGAACGGGTGAATGTCCGCAGCGACAGAAGGATTTGATTCCTTTGTTTCCTATGTGTCACCCAACTTTCGACATTTTCCATGAATCGAGGTCAGCCTCAGCATAGTGTGGCGCTGAATCAGCCACTGGGTGAGTTCAATTCATTAAGATGGGCGGCGGCTATTCTTATGATGAAGACCGGCTTTGCAGCTTGGTCAAAGATGACTCATGCACCGCAAAGACCTAAGGGAACCGGGCACCGCGCCCACAATAATCTCAATATGAATGAACATTCGAAAGACCATTTCCATAGTCTATTGCTGAGCCGAAAGAGGATTTGCTGTTATTGCCCGAAAGTGGTTGAATTAAGTTTTTGTCGAGGCGCAGATGCCAGAATGATAAACAGTGAGTGCGTCCAAGAAATCAGGTTGTAATAGACTGTAGAGGCAGTTTACAGCCACTTTGCTAGAGCCTTAAGAATGAGAGAACGCATTTTACGGCTATCGCAGAACCTCCCCCCACCGTTTGACGAACAACACGTGTGGACAGAGCGCAATCAGTTTTGT